CTAACAGGGAGGTAGTGTCATACTGACCATGCTAACAGGGAGGTAGAGTCATACTGACCATGCTAACAGGGGTTAGAGTCATACTGACCATGCTAACAGGGAGGTAGTGTCATACTGACCATGCTAACAGGGAGGTAGAGTCATACTGACCATGCTAACAGGGGTTAGAGTCATACTGACCATGCTAACAGGGAGGTAGAGTCATACTGATCATGCTAACAGGGAGATAGAGTCATACTGACCATGCTAACAGGGAGGTCAGGTACTGTGGAGTTGAAGGATCAGGGTTGAGAGGCGGGCTCATGACAAAGGCAGCAGCTGTAGCCCAGTCTTTGGACCAATAGTGAGAGCCGTCTGTGGCCAGACTGGCTGTGATTGGCTCCCCGTACACCACCATACCTGAGGACAGAAACAGGTAGATGTTGGTGAAGGACACTGTGCCACCCCGTGGTAGCTGAAGAAGACACACTGAGGAACTCTTCCTCCCTCAGATTCACCCTGATAAACTCTGGACATGCTGGTTGAGTCTTTAGAGTCTCATGGGACAATCCCTGTGGACAGGAGGTGGTGGTGGTGGTGGGGGTGGGGGGGGGGTCACTGGGTGCCACGTTTAGTAAAGAGGTGAAAAGTAAAAAATTGGAAGATGATGTCACCTTTCTTCCTGGCTTTGGCGATGACATCAGCAGCAGATTTGCTCATCACCTTGGTAACATACAGTGGACAGTTGGCCTGTTTGGCGATGGTGATGGCCCGATACACTGCCTCTGTCTCCACCTGGAATACAAGGTGTAATGACAGGTGTGTCACAGGTTTAATTACAGGTGTGTCACAGGTATGGTACAGGTGTGGTACAGGTTTAATTACAGGTCTGTTACAGGTGTGTCACCGGTGTGGTACAGGTGTGTTACAGGTTTAATTACAGGTCTGTTACAGGTGTGTCACCGGTGTGGTACAGGTGTAATTACAGGTCTGTTACAGGTGTGTCACAGGTGTGGTACAGGTGTGTTACAGGTTTAATTACAGGTCTGTTACAGGTGTGTCACAGGTGTGGTACAGGTGTGTTACAGGTTTAATTACAGGTCTGTTACAGGTGTGTCACCGGTGTGGTACAGGTGT